CAGCATACGGAACAGCTGCTCAAACTCTATTTTTTAATTGGATAGCATCTATAGGGTATTCACCTCAGTAATTTTTGTGCCAGTGTTATATTTTATAATTTAAAAAGTTTTTAAAAACATAATTGCAATCTAAAAGATTTACTAAAGTAGCGATTTTATATTTTTTCATGCAAATGCATTCCTTTTCCTACATTCATAGTCATACTCTTAAATAAATGCATTGCACCTGAGTTTCACAGATAAAGGTTCCATGACACCTGAGCAGAGTCATTTACTAGATTGGTATCTAGCCATTATTTAAATCAGGCATAATGATTTATTAAAAGATTTTATGTATTTATTTCAGAGAGAAGCAGAGAAAAAGGACCACAAGCTGGGGGGTGGGGGGTGGGGGAGGGACAGAGGAAATCTCAAGGAGACTTCTCCCCCAGAGCAGAGCACCTTGCAGGGCTCAATTCCATGACCTCAACATCACAACCTGAGCTGAAATCATGAGTCAGATGCTTAATGGACTATGCCACCTAGGCACCTCAATCTGGCATAATGATCCTTTTTAAGATTTATTTATTTATTCATGAGACAGAGAGAGAGAGAGAGAGAGAGAGAGAGAGAGAGAGAGAGGCAGGCAGAGACCTAGGCAGAGGGAGAAGCCAGCTTCTCGCAGGGAGCCCAATGTGGGACTCAATCCCAAATCCTGGAATCAGGCCCTAAGCCAAAGGCAGATACTCAACTGCTGAGCCACCCAGGCATCCCTGGCATAATGATTTTGATTTTAATTTTATATCATCATAAAAAACACAGACTTTTGTCATGATTTCATATACCTTTTATTTATTTCACTTCCAAAAGAAAAGCCAATTAAAAAAAAACACAAGGAGAGCCAGTGTGGCACAGTCTATTAAGAGTTGGACTCTTGGTTTCAGCTCGGGTCGTTATTTCAGGGCTATCAGATAGAGTCCCAAGTGCGGCTGGTGAAGTCTGCTTAAGACTCTCTTTCCCTTTCCCTCTGTCCCTCCCACTCGTGTTCTCCCCCCCCCATTCTTCCATAAATAAATAAATAAACAAACAAATCTTAAAAACAAAACACAGTACTCTTAGGAAAGCTGTTATGGGCTTAATTAACAAGGCAGGAAATCACAAATGTTGGAGAGGATGTGGAGAAAAGGGAAACCTCTTGCACTGTTGGTGGGAATGTGGACTGGTGCAGCCCCTCTGGAAAACTGTGCGGAGCTTCTTCAAAGAGTTAAAAATAGATCTGCCCTACATACGACCCAGCAACTGCACTGCTGGGGATTTACCCCAAAGATACAGATGCAATGAAACGCCAGGACACCTACACCCCAGTGTTTATAGCAGCAATGTCCACAATAGCCAAACTGTGGAAGGAGCCTTGGTGTCCATCGAAAGATGAATGGATAAAGAAGCTGTGGTCTATGTATACAATGGAATATTACTCAGCCATTAGAAACGACAAATACCCACCATTTGCTTCAAGGTGGATGGAACTGGAGGGTATTATGCTGAGTGAAGTAAGTCAATCAGAGAAGGACAAACATTATATGGTCTCATTCTTTTGGGGAATATGAATAATAGTGAAAGGGAATATAAGGGAAGGGAGAAGAAATGTGTGGGAAATATCAGAAAGGGAGACAGAACATGAAAGACTCCTAACTCTGGGAAACAAACTAGGGGTGGTGGAAGGGGAGGAGGGCGGGGGGTGGGGGTGACTGGGTGGCGGGCACTGAGGTGGGTACTTGATGGGATGAGCACTGGGTGTTATTCTGTATGTTGACAAAATGAACACCAATAAAAATAAATTTATTTAAAAAAAAACTCTCTTTCCCTTTCCCTCTGTCCCTCCCACTCGTGTTCGCCCCCCCCAATTCTTCCATTCTTAAATAAATAAATAAATAAATAAATAAATAAATAAATAAATAAATAAATAAATAAATCTTAAAAACAAAACACAGTACTCTTAGGAAAGCTGTTATGGGCTTAATTTTATTCCTCTGAAATTCTTATGATGAAATCCTAACCCCTCACTACCTCAGATTGTAACTGTATTTGAAGATATAGTCTTTAAGAAATAATTAAATTAAAATGAGGTTGTTACTATAGGCCCTAACGCAACATGAGGAATGGTCTATTTAAGATGAAGAAATCAGAGGGCTGGGTATCTGCCTTTGGCTTCTGCCTTCAGCTCAGGTTGTGATCCCAAGGTCCTGAGATCGAGCCCTACATAAGGCTCCCTACTCAGCGGGGAGTCTGCTTCTCCCTCTGCCCTCCCCCCCTGCTTGTGCACTCTCTCTCTCTCTCTCTCTCTCTCTTTCTCTTTTTCAGAAGAAGAATAAGAGGAGGAGGAGGAGGAAGAGGGGGAGGGAGGGAGGGAGGGAGGAAGAAGAAGAAATTAGAGTACAGACACACAGAGGGAAAACCACATAAAGGCAAAGGGAGAAGACACCAGCCACAAGCCTTAGAGGAAACCAACCCTGTTGACCTTGGTCTTGGCCTTCTGGCCTCCAAAATTCTAAGGAAATACATTTCTGGGGGCGCCTGGGTGGCTCAGTAGGTTACGTATCTGCCTTTGGCTTAGGTCATGATCCTGGGGTCCTGGGATGGAGCCCGCATAGGGCTTCCTGTTCAATGTCAGTTTGCTTATCCCTCTTCTTCTGTCTCTGCCCTCAACACGTGCTTTCTCTCTCTCTCAAATAAATGTTTTAAAAAGAAAATACATTTCTGTTGTTTAAGCCACTCTACGGTACTTTGTGATGGCCTTGGCAAATTAATACAGATGGTATGAAAATAATTTTTTGGAAAAAAAATAGTAGAAAGAAGAAAAAAGAAAAAAAATGAAATGCTACAATTTTAGTTGATTTCTAACGTTCAGTAGAAAGAAAACCTTGAAAAAATTCTGAGTCATTAGTAAGGAAAAGAGAACAGATTCGATGTAAAAAGAAACACCCCAAAATGCTAAGCACAAAGGGTAAGACACAAGGGAACCAGCAGGAAGTAAGTGGCTACTAAGTGAACTGGTGGGGCAGGATTCAGAGCTTTCAATGTGGTTCCTGGAAAAAACCCAGAGGAGAATTTTGAGTTAGGTTTTTAAATAGACTAGAAACAAATGGAGGTGATGGGTGACATCCAAGTGGTTTTCTTAAAGGGAGAAACGTCTTCTGGCAGAAGGGTTTGAATGAAGGTTGAATTTATTATTGCCCTAGTTTAAAAGGCTTGGGGGTTTTGCAAACCATCAATGAAAACAATGCAATTCTCAGACTGGAAAAAATCAGCAAAACTGTACAGAATGTCAGAGCTCTTGGTGTTACATATCCCATGGAGCCTAATGATCTCAGAGTGGAGAAGCTTTGTTGATTAAATACAAATTTCCTGAAAAGGGATATTATTGTAGCAACAGCAGATAGCTTTTTGTTAGATCTGCCCTCCACACTCATATGCATTTCATTATGCCACTCACAGGCATAAATAGAAATAGATGAACTGCCTGTTTCTTTCCCTCTTTAATTTGACAAAGGAATGAGATACACTGTGCATTCACAAAAGCATCATGCAAAATAGACAAGTGAAGCCAAATAAACAGGGAAGATAAGAGAATCCCAGAGATTCTAAATCTAGTTAATTTTTTCCAAGTCCAAACAAAATGGCACCATTTTCCTAAGTCATATCTGGAAGAATCCTGACATCCTTTCTGCAGTAAGGCAGTGAAATAAACTGACCAACCATTCAATCTGTCAGTCTTAACAAGTTTAGAGTAACTTTCTGGAGAGACTGGCATAAATATTATAATTACTTTACATGTAAAAATCAACAGATTTTAAGTCTTTATCAGAGATGCCTATGCATGATACAGAAATCTTGCTTGAAAAGCAAGATACTGGGCAGCCTGTGTGGCTCAGCGGTTTAGCGCCGCCTTCAGTCCAGGGCCTGGTCCTGGTCCTGGAGACACAGGATCGAGTCCCACGTCGGGCTCCCTGCATGGAGCCCGCTTCTCTCTCTGCCTCTCTCTCTGTCTCTCATGAATAAATAAAAAAAAATTAAAAAAAAGAAAAGCAAGATACTATAGTACATGTATATATGACAGCAACTATATAAAAATTTACAATATGTGCATAGGACAAAACAATACTAAAAGGAAATACAATAAAATGAAAACAAAGTTTACCTTGGTGATGAATTTAAGGGTGATTTTTCATTTTTCCCCACTTTTCTCTATTTGTAAGTTTACTAACATGAGTCTATTCAGAAAAATCTATTTTTTATGTTTTTTATATTCAGAAAAAGAAAGCAAATCTATATAAATGGCATTATAATTCTGATAAAGAAGAGGAAATCTGAACAGTGTTCAGAAGAAAATAAACACTTGACTAAAATGTATCATACCACACATGGGCCTAAAGAAACCCTTGAGTGGGATTCGATCTCACATGTCCTCAAGTTACATCATCAGTAGACTGGACAAAAATACACATTCCTATGCCTACAATTGGAAGAGGCTTTTATTTACAAGTCATCTTTTTCAGAGCTTACATAACAAGAACCAGTATCTGAGATTTCTCCCACCAGGTATTTAAAATCCCCAGGACTTCCCCGTAGACCTAATAAATTTACCATTTTACCAAGACAATGTCTTTCCCAACTGAATGCAAATCATGTACCTACCCTGGACCCAAGACTTCACTCTTGGTTCTCAGAGCTAACCTTAAAAAGGCAAATTTCAGAAATGGTTTTCTGTGACATATTCTAAAAAAACCCTTTGCACTACATTACTCCCATAAAATAGAACTCCAACAATTCCCACAGTACTAAGAATTCTTTTTCTGGTAACTGAAGGTTTATATTCACAAGTGTAATACAGTTTCTTGAAAAAATCTGAAATATAAAAACCCCAAAAGTGTATAATAGAAGTATCACTGTAAACTAAAATCATAATTGATATTTTAAAAATTCTCAAGAAATTTCCCCCAGAGGGAGAAAATTTTACTTACTTTAACTTCCACTGTCTTCCCTCCATGTTCAACATGTCTCTCTATGTATTCAGAGGACAGCAAATCACTGTAACAAACAGAAATGATGATTAAAAAGGATTTTGAAAATGTAAATCATTCGAAAATTGCCAAGTTTGTACATACAGCTTTAGCCCATATTTGAAAACAAAAGTAAAAATTTTTAGGTCTCCTTCTCTCTCTCCCTCTGTCTTTGTCTCTCTTTCTCTCTCACTCTCTGTCCTACATACATACACCCTAGTACTTCCAAAAAAAATATGAGGTAAAATCACCTGTCACCCCATTGCTTAGCAGAGCTTATTCTACTGATGTAGTTCAACAGTTCTAGGAAACTACCATTATTTGCAAGACATCTTATTCGTTCCATTTTTACTTTAGCTTTTATCAAATAGTTCTGATTTGCTACCATACATTACCATTTTTAAAGTGTGATATTTTAACCTAATATTCCTTTCCATCACAAAAACAGTGAAAGGGGCAAAAGAAGGTAGAAGAAATGAGAAGGAATATGCCTTGAGCATTTTTAAATAACCCTTTTGAAATCTCTAACGACATTCTTTTTTTTTTAACCATTTTATTTATTTATTTATTTGTTTGTTTATTTATTTATTTATTTATTTATTTATTTATTTATTTATTTATTCATGAGAGACACAGAGAGAGTGGCAGACACACAGGCAGAGGGAGAAGCAGGCTCCATGCAGGGAACACAATGAGGGACTCCAGCCAGGATCACGCCCTGAGCCAATGTCAGGCACTAAACCGCTGAGCCACCCAGGGATCTCCTCCTAACGACATTCTTATACAATTTTAAAATGTTTATATTTTCTTAAATATGCTTCCCTTTAATTCCATATATGTGAAAAAATTCCCCCTTTAATGGTGGTTCCTCAAGACACAACTTCCATGAAAGTCTCAAAGTGTTAAGATTTTTAAAGCACTAAAACTTAAGTAAAATTTATATTAAATAAAAATTTAAAAATAAGCTATAAATTTCTTATTTTAAGATTTTATGTATTTGAGAGAGAGAGTATAGAACGAGAGAGAGAAAGAGAAAGAGAGCATGAGCATGGGAGAGAGGCAGAGGGAGAGGGAGAAGCAGGCTCCCAGAGAACAGGATGCCCAGTGCAGAGACTCAATCCCAGGACCCAGCATCATGACCTGAGCTGAAGGCATATGCTTAACTCACTGACCCACCCAGGTGCCTCGAAGGTATAATTTCTAACTCTGTCAATAGATACTCAGCCAATTAAAAAATCTTCTTCACAATGCTCTGAAGGTCACCATACCAAAATTATCCCAGTCATTTAAAAAAATGTGAATTTCTGGGGCACCTGGGTGGCTCAGTGGGTTAAGCATCCAACTCTTGATTTCAGCTCCAGTCATGATCTCAAAATCATGAGACTGAGCCCTGCATCAGGTTCCATCCTGGATGTGCAGCCTGCCTAAGATTCTCTCTCTCCCCCTCCTTCTGTTCCTTCCTGAGCCCCCAACCTGCTTTTCATGCACACATGCTCTTTCTCTATTAATCTGAGTGCAAAGGCCTTCCACAGTAAGCACCATGCCTATAGTTGCTTGAAAGGTAAACAGAGTGATCAAACACTTGTTATTATTAACACAAGTACCATAATCAATTTCCTACAGTATCTGATCCCTACATTACCACTTAAGAAACCTATAATCACAGTCTAACTCCTTGTTTCACTTGTCTTTGGAATACATTTTCCTGCTGACATTTTGGAGGAACCAGCTAGGATGCTTAAAGCTGCAAGATGCAGAAAACACAACTAAATCTGGCTTAAACAATCAGGACATTTAAATCTTATTCCTTGTTAGAAGTTCTGGGACAAGTGTAATGTGATTTTTCTTCTGAAAATCTCTATATCTGTTAGATGAATAAATTTGAAGTTCACAAAATATATGCAAACACTTCTAAGATGACTTAAATATAGACAAGTAACTAGTAAACAAAATTTTGTTAGATGTGGCAGGATGCATAGGATGTGTAAAGTATAACTAAGAAGATCATGTATGTGTTACACATACATGTGTTACACGTGGATAGAAAGGGTTGGGTGACCAAATGATATTTGATATTCATGAGGCACCTGGGTAATAAATGCTCATTATATCACAAATATACAAAAGATACTAAATATCCAGGATACACTATTCATAAACACTATTAATGAGGTCTTAATTCAATCGCCTATTGGTGACATCCAGGGCTTCTCAACCTCCACACTATTGATATTTTGGGCCAGATAATTCTTTGTCTTGAGGAGTATCTTATACATTGTAGCATATTTATCAGCCTCTACCCACTAGGTGCCAATAGCATCGCACAGACACATTGGTCATGACTATCAAAAATGTCTCCAGACATTGCAAATGTAGACTCAGGGGTAAAACTGCTTTGGTTAATAAACACTGCTGACACCCATTTCTGCCCCAGGTTTTCTTTGCCCAAAAAACACAAATGGAATTCATGACTGTTCATCAAGCTAACTGGCAATGAATACCTCCTGACCAAGAATACTTATCTCTGTGTAACTCAGATACAGCAAATGAGTGTCATTAGCTTGAACTACCTTCCACCTATGGAGCTTGCCCAAACCTCAGCTCTAGTCTTTGAAATCACATCATCAGCAGGTAAGGTAGATGCAGCAGAGAGAGAAGGAGAACTTGGGAACACTGTGTGAACTGATCCTTCATTCAACCTGTACCCTATACTAAGTCTGCTAACCTACCCATTTCTTTCTTCTTGCTTCTCACCATGTCCTTTGTCCCTCAAATTAATCTAGCAAGCCATGTGACTTGAAGATTTTAATTTAGTCTGTGGGGGCTAGCTTGCCTGGAGGTACACTCCTGGGCTACTACCTATTACATTCAAGTAATTTCCCAAGGGCAGTTCCAGAGTTAGTTCATGTGGCAGCTCAGCATATATATGTGACCAGGCAAAAGTTCATCTTTCTGCTCTGCCACCAGTATGGTGAGCGACCTGTTCTCTTAACTGGTTTTGTTAGGGTCACGATGACCCTAACATGGTTACTACAATTCGAAGCATCTCACATAGATAAAAATATCCTAAGGTAGAAAAGCCCTGTATTTTTCTTTCTTTTTTTTCTCTTTTCTTTTCCTTTTTCTTTCTTTCTTTCTTTCTTTCTTTCTTTCTTTCTTTCTTTCTTTCTTTCTTTCTTTCTTTCTTTCATCTATCATCTCTCTACTTATTTATTTGAGACACAGAGACATAGAGGCAGAGATATAGGCTCAGGAAGAAGCAGGCTCCCCACAGGGAGCCCAATGCAGGACTCTATCCCAGGATCCTGGGATCACAACCTGAACCAAAGGCAGATGCTCAGCCACTGAGCCACCTGGGTGCTCTGTATTTCTTTAAAAGAATCAGTAAACTCTTCACTGAAAGCCCCTATTATTCATCTTCTCAAGTATGTTTTGCCAAAATTACCTTACTGAACCTCACCAAAACAAATCCTTTGACTGGGACATTTGCCTTTGAACAATCAAGTTCTCCTTCTCCAGAGCCTGGCATGAATATCATGAGTACTCAGAGCTGAACAATGTTAGGGGGAAGGAGGGTGGAGGAAAGAAGAGCCTTTGTGCAGCCAACCAACAGTTGTCTTTCTTGTCCTTTCTTTCATTATTTTCCTCCTTCCCTCCCTCCCTCCCTCCCTTCTTTCCCATGGGGATATGAGATAGTACTTCACAAATTTCAAAGGATTTCTAACAAAAGTGAAGCCCCATGATAAAAATCTGCCTTGTAAGCAAAACAGGTCATTGTTCTAGCATCCACATCTCACCCAGGTACCAGCAGCCATACCCTAGACAGGAGAGGCATCAGCCAGATGTTTACAAAGGACTGGCTCCCGAACTTATATCAGTCTCAACTTTCCAAAAGTGAGAAAGGAAAACTGCCATCCACAGGGAGTGTTTATTAGCAGAACAACTATTATCCCCTCTCTTGGGAATCTGAACAAGTAAATTCACAAGAAATCATTCAAAGAAAGAGAGGCAGAAAGTCAGAAATAAGCAGACACTTGAGAGAAATGGAGTTGTGCCAGTGGCGAATACCAGAGGGAAAACCCCAAATCTCTGCTGCTTAGGTCCTGGGATCCAGAATAGCCCATCCCTGATACTGAGTATCTGTGGGATCCTTTCTCCAACCGTCACATAAGTAAATTCCCATTATGGGAGCTAACATGAGTGAGATTAAAAGCAACTAGTTTATAACATCACTTAAAGAAGTTATGGTAGTAGTAGTAATAACAACCATAATTTTTTAAAAACAACTTTTGAGTTTTCCAGGTTTTCTTTTTTTTTCTTAAGATTTATTTATTTGACAGAGAGAGAGAGAGAGAGAGAGAGAGAGAGAGAACACAAGCAGGGGGAGTGGCAGGCAGAAGGTGAGGAGAAGCACGTTCCCTCATGCAGGACTTGATCCCAGGACCCTGGGATCATAACGTGAGCCGAAGGCAGATGCTTAACTGACTTAGCCACCCAGGTGCCCCTGAATCTTCCAGGTTTTCAAAGTTCAAGGAAATATTTTCCTTTGAATTATAAAATCTAGAAATTAAGAGAGTATGAGTCACCACATGAATGTAATTACAGCAAAGAAAACCCTCTGCTTAGAAATTATGCAGCTATTTCAATCAAGCCTCTACCTACAAGTAGTGTTGGAAAGGGCTCCATGTAATTTAAACTAAAAACAGCCCAGGCAATTGGGTTTTGTTTGTTTGCAGTACTGTGGAAGTCTGTTAAGTATTGTTATTTTAATTATTAGGCTGAAAAACATTCCATTTAAAATGTCACTTTTCCTCTACTGAAGCATAAAATCTTTACTACCATCTACTTAGAACCTAAGCAAATGTTCTTGAAGCCTCCTAAGGTAAAGATAATCAAAATTACCTTAAGCACTTTTCCTTAGATCGTCATTGTTTACTGTTAAAATAGGATCTATTTAAATAATTTCAAGTGTAGGAAAATGGAGGATGATCTCCTTAATGTTGAGAAATTTTACTTTACTGTAAATTG